GTGTTTGTGGGATTCCCTCTGGTTTTTCCGGCAATTGTGCCGGACAACACTGGTTTTCCAGTGTTTTTGTGATTCGTTTTTGCTCTTTAAAGGGGAAGAGTTATGATGGGGACAAAAATGAAGGCTTGTGTCAGCACCGAAAACTGGTAGTTCACCTCCACTTCTCTACTTGATGTTATTATCACACATAGTATCATTCAGCTAGACTTTTCAAAAATAAGGGGCAAAACGACTTTTATTGCCTACAAAAGTGTTTCTTGTTGAAATCTATAGACCTTTTTTTCGTTCATCTAAAATTTTTATTTTTATCTAGAAAAAGTATCCAATGAGACCATTTACTTTGGTGGTCATAATTAAACTTGACAATTGAATATGAAATTAGATGACAGTATTGGATATGAAATTAGATGGTTGTATTTATTTTAATGACCAAGCTCAAACTCTAAAAGAAATTCTCTAGAACTTTTTGACATGCTCAAGCTATTAGATTTCACATCAGGTGATTATCTGTAATTGTGACTTCTTTGTATCAAAGGTATATAGTCTCATTGTATACAATCTCATCTATCGGCATTTACGTTTTCAAAATACGGTTCAAAAGAACTTTCGTTTGAAAATGTAAATATTGCTGATGACATTGTATGGGGCATAAATGAAAGCTTGTATAGCACCAAAAACTGGTAGCTCAGCTCCCCTCTTCTCGACTTTTCTAATTGTAATTATTATATTGTCATTTTTTTTTTTTTTTTGGAATACTAACGGTAATTTCATTGAGAGAATGAGAAATATGACCTACCAAAAGGTCACAAAAATCAGTTTATTATAGTATCATTTCATGTCAGTTTATTATAGTATCATTTCATGTCCCCTTGATGGGACTCCCACTCTTTCCTCCCCTCCTTTATCGCTCACCAATTTTTGGCCGGGTCTTGGACTGACATCCTTTGTTCTTCACTTTTTGTCTTGATCTCTCCCACCTTCGCTTTGCTTCCAAAATTACATGAAAACAAAAGATTTATTGTTACGGCAAGGCCAACGTCAACTTATGGCACTAATCCAAAATTAGATTTTTACATTTAGCTAGTACGCCAAAAAAAAAAAAAATTGGTTAGGTGGATTGTTTGATCTGCGGACTTTTAGATCCTTATCACCCGTCGATGAGGTGCATATATTCGAAAATAAAAGCCAAATTGACAGAAAAACCTCATTTTATTATCCGGATATAGAATGACTGTTTGTCGGTTTGTTTAAAGGACAGTAGTTGATGGAATCAAATGAAATGACCTTAATGGGTGGAAGGTTTTTACAATCCTTTGGAATGATCTCAGTGAATAGCACTCTGTTTGTCGATTTGTTTAAAGGATAGTAATCGATGGAATCAAATAGAATGACTTTAATGGGTGGATTATTATTTTTTACAATCTTTGGGAATGATCTCAGTGAATAATCAATAATGCCCTTTTCTTCTATGTTTTTCATATCTTATTTTGAACGTTTTTAGCTCAATCAACCTTTTAAGGATTTGTGTAATCTAGTCGGAATATATAATTTTTTTTTTTTTCTTCATAGCCTAGATCACTCACAAGTAGTATTTTTTTAATATAATAATTTTAAATAAAAATAAAATAAAATAATACAATAAGATCTCAAGAACTTGAAGTCATTCAAAAACATTTCTTTTAATAACAAAGAAAATACACAACCTATGATTGGAAATAAAAGACATAATAAATAAATATGCAATAAATAAAAAAGGGTGTGGAAATTACTTTAACCGGGCTTCTTACATCTAACACCGAGTCACCACCTTCCGATAGTATGGGATTTTATAGTCAACCTTCAATCTCAACTGGAAAAACAAATTTGGACAAGCCACACCAATGAAACATGAACCCTTTAATCACAAATCTCAAACCCTTCGGTGAACCCCCTTGATAACCTAGTTTGAGAGATATACTTCTCTATCTACTACAACCCTATGGACCTTAACCCTAATGTGAGATCAGAGAAGATGAGAGACACCATGAGAGAGAAACCATGAGATGAGAGAGAGTGGGGGCTACCGCCCATTGGACCTTTCAAGAGAGAAAAAAAAAACTTTTTTAAGAGAGAGAAATAACGTAGAGTGGGGTGTGCCCCCTTTGGGAGTTTTTAAAGAAGAGATGGAAAGAACCTGTTTTTATAGTGCCAAAACAAGATTAAGGTTTTTTAGTATTTTCTTTGGCTTGCCCATCATGTTAGATTTAATAGAACACCTTTGATCTTGAGTTACTTATAGGGTAAGAAATATAAGCTCTCCATTCTATAAATAGACCATCAACATCCTATCGAAGGTATTAGAATCATTATCCCCCACTTCCTAAATCATTTTCCCATCAATTAATTCAAGTCAGAAATTAATATATCATTATATTATCATTTTTTATGCATAAGCCTTCTCATACATTCTAAAATAACATTCAAATTTTCCTCAATGCATAAACTTTCTAAAACAACACAAACTTAACTCTCAAACTTCATCTTTATAAATAAAGTTAGGATTTGCTTACTATTAATAAATAATTATCATAATATTTAATTATTTTGTGGTTATTATAATATTTATATTTTTGGAACATGTATTAAAATTATATTATTAATACAACTAATAGTATTTATATATATCGAAAGTTTTAATATTATAACATTAAATTAAAGCCAACCTTCAAATAGTGTCGAGAAATGTGGTTTCAATATTAAAAATCTTTGTGACATCTTTAAAATATATTTTCATATTTATTTATAAAGTTTAAATCTTAAAAAAATAGTATAGATCGACATATCTATGAAAACTTAAAAATCTTGAAAATTGACGGCCCAAAAGTGCATTACAAAATACACTATTTTCAAAACTTACAATCCATTTTGTTCTCATGTCCATGTATCTTAATGTCGAGATGATCAATTTGAAGATATATGGACTTCAAAACAACATCTTCTAGTGAAATTTTTGAGGTAGGCTTAAATTTTTTTGTTTAGAGCCTCGCTCTATCTAAACTTTTCCCTTATAAGTTATAACAATAGTGATTACTTAGTTAGTATAAGAAACTAATTAATTATATAATTTAAATAATTGTTGATAAATTACGTTGTAAAAAATAGAACAGTCGTAATAAAAATGGATTAGTCTTAAAAAATATAAAATAGTTTAGTACAATAATTTTAAGGGCACGGTTAACATGCGGCCAAACCCGCACAGGTAGACATGTGGGCTAGGCAAAAAATATATTTTTAAATATTATTTGACCCTAATTTTTAGAGAATATATATAGTCTTTAACATGGAGATCATGATATGAAAAAAAAAAAATTAAATGATTATATTAAGCGAACATTTGAACCGTTAGATGAATGCTTTATACCTGTGGACCGCATATTGTAGAGCATGAAACAATTGTTCTAATTTTAATTATGATAAACTTGTAATAAAAATATCTCACCAATTTATTTTTTAAATGCTCCAAATATAGTTATTATTATTCATATATACATACTCTTGCATTCATAATGTCAACCAAAAAATCTCAAAATAAGAGAATGCGTATTGAACAGATAATTATATTTCGATTATTGAATGCATATTTATACCCAAACGAATATAGTATCTAATTATACTTATGGGTTTGTAATATTTGTTTTATATTTAAAGAGTGCGGTTCGTATAGAGCCTAGGCTCTTAACAATCAAATTAAAGCCTACCTTCAAATAGTGTCGAAAAATATGGTTTCAATACCGAAAATATTTTTGATAGCCTTAAAATATATTTCCACCTTTATTTATAAAGTTTAAAACTTCAAAATAATGTAGATCGAGAGATATGAAAACTTGAAAATCTTGAAATTTGTAGGTCCAAAAGTGCGTTACAAAATACACTATTTCCACAACTTGAAATCCATTTTTTCATCATGTCCATGCATCTTGATATCGAGATGATGAATTTGAGGATACTTGGGCATCAAAAAACATCTTCTAGTGAAACTTTTGAGGTAAGCTCGAATTTGATTGTTTAGAGCCTTGGCTCTATATAAACTTTTCCCATATTTAAATGTTACTCTATTTATTTGTCTAACTAATAAAAGGGAAAACTTTATATAGATCCTAAGCTCTAAACAATCAAATTAGAGCCTACATCAAAATTTTCACTAGAAGAAGTTGTTTTGATCCCAAAATATCATCAATTTGATCATCTCGACATCAAGATGCATGGACATGAAAAATAAATAAATTTTAAGTTTTAAAAATAATATATCTTGTAATGCATTTTTGGAACGTAAATTTTCAAGATTTTCAAGCTTTCATAGATTTGCTCCTTTTCCACTATTTTTTAAACTTTAAATTTCATAACTAAAGATGAAAATATAATTTAAAGCCATATTTCTCGAAGGTAGGCTCAAATTTGATTGTTTAGAGCCTCGACTCTATACAAACCACACCCTTAATAAAATATTTAAAATTAATATTCTATGCATTAACTGAAATCAATTTTGTTTTTATTATATATTTAATACCTTTTTTTTTCAAAATTTTAACTTTATAGTTATTGAGGCCTTATGTTAAATTATGCAATTTGGACTTTTTTAAAAATATTTTTAAAAGATGATAATATTGAAAATAAGACTTCCAACGTTAATTTTGACCATTAAGTGAGATATTTTGGCCCTTGGGATGTTTGTAAGATGTTTTGACCCCTTTAACGGTATTTTTCCTTCCATAGAAATAGGGGAAAACGCGATACCTGACCATATCCACTATTAATGGGAAAGATTCCTCAACTTGTGTTGGCGGTTATGATGTTACTTCCAAAAGGTACAAGGTAGGGGAGGAATTTTCTTTTCTTTTTTTTCTCTTTGTTTTTGGGTGGGTGCAAGGTAGGGGAGGAAGAAAAGGTGTCCACCTTCAGAAAGGTTATTTTCATCGGAGAGGTAATCGGTTGAGGTCAATTGCTGACCGGGTAGATCTAGCTTACCAAGTCGGGACAAAGTCGGGTCCAGGTCCAAACATATGGACCTGACCGTCGATTAAGATCAGGATCGGGCCCTGATCGGAATATTATAGAGGCAAATTCAATTTTCTAGAGATCGTGTTTCTCTCGCAAATAAATAATCCTATTCATTTCTTGTGCCGTGGATCTATATTGACTGAACCATCGACTCTCTCTCTCTATGTGAAGCTCTGGTACTATAGGTACAACTGAATGAGTTCGTCACTAACTACAGAAGGTGTTAACACCCCAAGGTCGGTGAAAAGAAGGGTGAGATACTGTGGAGGTGTGTAATCCCTTGCCGACGTTTCCACCTCAACAGCAGTAGGAACCGGTACACCAAAATCAACCGAGCGTAGCGCAGGAGCCAAGTCTTTCTGATCCAAAGGATAGAGACGTGCAAACTACCAAAGATTCCACAGAGCCAAAAGTTAGAAACTGTTATCCATACATTGTCAATAGTTCACTGCAAACAAGCGAGAGAGTATTATATATTTGATTGATACTAAAGAAATATATCACCAGTAGTGAATCCAAAGTTCCATTTAAAAGTATCAATTCTAAAGAGAGAATGCTTAAGCAACTAGAATTCTAAGAAATACATTGTAAATGCAGTCCATGTTGTAATCAGAAGTCACAAATCTAAAGAGATAATGCCTCACAGCAAAAACAGTAAAAATTCTGCCAACAAGTTGCAAATGTTGAGAGCATACAACAACAACCGTCAATATAACTAAATGTCTATCCCAAAGTAGCAAATCTACAAAACCACTTGAAGGCTCGTAATCAGCATTAAGAAAAAAGACAATAAATTTTTTTAGAATTACACAAGAATTTATCAGGGAAAGTGCTGAGTTCTTGAGTGATGGGACCCTTCATCACAACCAAGCAATTGCTTGGAACCCACACATAATCCACATACGAAGGGATAAGGTTTTTATGAGTCCATGTGGAAATGAATCCCCTCTTAAAATCTTCAAAATCTATTTTTGAGATGGATTTTTGGACCCAATTTTTAAGGACATATAATCTGTAACATGGAGATAACGAATATGAATAAATAAATAAATTTTAAAAATTAAAAAATAATAATTATAGGAAGAAAACGTTTAGACTGATAGTTTTAATTGTTTTTAGATAGACCACCCATTTGCAGCTATCTTTAAGATGAATGCTTTATACCTCGGAGAACGCAAATGTAGAAACGTGTCCCCTGATGCATGGAACAATTTTCCCGTACAAAGTTGGCCTACACAAACAGAGAAAATTGATGGCCATGGCAGCTACAATGTGTGTGACTGGGTATTTCCACTTCGACAAACCTTACTTGGAAGAGGGGCTCAAAATGCAACTTAAGGCTTAAGAGCAATCAATCGATTTTTTGGTGGTACCCCTCTCTCCCTAGTACAACTTAAAGGCTTAAGAGCACATGTATGGGGGGCAGAAATATCCTTAAATAGAGTGTGATAGCAATTCCTTAACAGATTAGTACATAGCGTTCATATCTTCATCCATGTATATGAAAAGATACAGTCCATGTCATACATGAGCGATTATCCTATAATTACCTTGTAACTCTAAAAATATCATGTAACACTCAAAATTTCAAGAAGCTCAAAATACCTTGAGTACTGAGCATTTGTGAGAAGAATATAATGTGCTTAAAATTTCAAGAAGCTCAAAAAAAAAACAGAAAGCTTAAATCCATACCTTGTAACTCTCTGCAGCAACATAAACAGGTTTGTTCATGCTGTGAGCTACCAATGCAATTTGGTATGTTCCCATCATGTTAATGATGCCTCCGCTTTCAACCACACCATCTGCACCAACAAATACCATGTCGACCTCATCGATGTTATACGCAACAGCAGAATCAATTAAAAGCTTCACAGGAATCCCAAGGCCAACAAGTTCGGTAGACAACCTTAGGCCTGTCTTATCGGGCCTGCCTTCTACAAGTTCAAAAATGTACGGTATTTCAATACTGTAGAGAGTGAGAAGAGATGTAAAAGTCCAAATCACGGCAAAAGAATTAGATAGAGAGGAAGAGACAGAGTGATATGACTGATAGGAAGAGAGATATATACAGAGAAAGAAAAAGAGGAACCATTCAAAATGCAATTATGCACGTGTATATGAGAGAGAGAGAGAGAGAGAGAGAGAGAGAGAGGAGGAGAGAGAGAACTAACTACTGAGTAGACGAAACGAACCGAAGTACGTTACCTACTAGTAGTGACGACGACGACCACACTACCTACCAACACTACTCTAGACGCGACGAACAAGTACGTAACA